GTCTTTCATTTTAGCATGTTCTTCTTTAATCTGCTTGCCGAATATTAGTTCACCTACTGAGACTGGCTGCAGTGTGGTGGCTATTCTGATATCCTCGTTCCTTTGCGGTTGCGTAACTTTTGCTTCTTTAATCGGCTTTCCGAATATCAGCTCACCTACTGAAACTGGTTGCAGTGTGGAGGCTAATCTAATTTCTTCGTTCTTTTGAGGTTGCGTACGTTTTGCTTCCTTATCATCTTTCGAGTCTCCCGGTTTTTTGATGTCTTGTTCTCGCTTTGCTTCATCTGGATTGTTCTGCTCAAGTACTTTCTTATCACAATCGTTTTTATCCTCCTTAACGTCTTTATCGTTTTTTTCCTCATCTTTCAACTTTACTTCTTTTTTGCCGTCGTTCACGGGAGATTTTTTGATTGCATCAGCGTTTTTGCCGGTCGTGGCTTTATGTTTCTCTTTATCGCTCTCTTGCTGAACTTTGGTTTCCGTTTCTTTTCTGATATTTGCTCGTTTTGGTGTGCTTGGTGCATTAGGTGAAGCTGAAGAAATTTGATAGAATATAATGACGAGAGACGTGTGGATTTGTTCAGACAAAAAGCTTGCTCAGCGAAGGAATAAGCTAGAATGCTCTAATTCTGCTAAAATTTTCAAAAACTCCATCTAGAATCTGAAATAAGTATGTCGTTTGGCTTGACTATTGCATTCTGCAATTTGATTCAAATGCAGTCATGACGGAAATATCTATTTTTACTAAGGAATGACATCTCAGCAAAGTATCTTCAAAAGAATTTTATTCACTGGTCAATGACACACTTTCATTCTTGCGTTCTTTTTGATCCGCTTCATTGGATGTCACCTTATCCGGATGCTTTTTCTTTCGTTCAGTATCAACAGTCTCTTTCGGATTAGCTGGTTTCGAAGCAGGGGAGGTGATCTCAAGTGGTAAAGGCTTGCCATCGTTTTCATTCAACATTCTCAAATAATCCACATATTCTGCGCAAAATTCTGAAAAATAGCCAGCAAGTGGTCATCCATAAGAGCAAAACCGAGTGTTTCATTGCTATCGTTGTTGAACTGTTACCTTATGAGAAAATGTTGAATGTTTGCTGATGATATTTCAGATGATATCGCAATTCAGTTTTTGCGAAATATCTGCGGACAGAAAAAGGATGTAATCACCCCACAGATGGATGCGAAATACGAAAGAATACGAAAAGGAAACACACTTCTAACTTCACGTGCGGATGCAATTCCTTTAACGAATATCAATTGAACGATAGCATAATGAATATACAAATATTGGTCCTCGGTTTGAACTGCTTGTAAACGTTGTCCGCGCACATCTTTCAAATACTGCTTCATGTCCGGTAGCTTTCCTCGCTTGAGAGCACTGAAACACCCTATTTCAAATGCATTTAGTGGAATTTCAGTAGACTCATAAACGATTTGGTTTATATGGGGATTAGGACGCATCAGAACTGCTATGTATTGTCATATAATCGTCCTACTATCACATTGTTGCCATCATTTCTTTGCAGTATATTGAACCTAACGTTCTCAATTCTTTCAACGATGACTATGCTAGCATATTGAAACTGCTGTGCAATTTGTTGGGTATCTTATTGACGGTTTATGATCGCTTGGCTGGACGCAGAGCTTGAGCGAGGAGGATTCTAATGTTATGGAAGCAAATTTGGAGATAGGTATTCGTTTCGAAGACGAACTTGGTGGCGATTTCTATCATGACCAATGTTCCCGTGCGTCCAATTCCGGCCGAACAGTGAATAACCGATGGATTGTTCGTGTAATGACGAGAATATTGAAGGAGACGAAATGGAGCCATTGGGGTCTTTGGTACACTTCGATCAGGCCATGATACCCACTGTAGATGGTCAACATGTCGAGTTTCTGCACCACCTAAATGCCCTAGTATTTGTTGATGATTTCTGACGTTGGCCAGCTTTCCATTACAACAATTTCTTTTCGTTTTTTCTTATTTTCGACGATTACGGCTTCGTGTTGAGTGCTTTCTGTTCATTATTTTGCTTCTAACTTGAATCCGTTTCAAACATGTTATTGATCATGTTTCTTATTTTGTGTTCAAATATTTCTTGAGTTGACTAATTAAGAGTAGTGAAAAGTCAGATATTATTAGATCAACAATAAGTCAATGGCAAGAAAATTGGTTCTGAACATTTTACTGTCTGCCGTGATTTGTGTTCTGAACAAGATATTTAGCGAAAATATCTTCTGCTCATGTTATCTGCATTGATTTGTGTTCGAGTATTCGGATATTTACTCACGCTTACAGTGCCTCCAAAAAACGCATCTGATGCAAAATTATACTGCGCAATACCAGCTCAGTGCTATCAATATTCATCGCATAAATTTTTGTACTTCAGTTTTGTTCAGTTATGCTATATTATGATGTTGATTTTGACCGCGGATTTTTTTCGACGGAGTCTTCAACATTATTTGCACTATCCATATGTGTTAGCAATCACTGAAGCGAATCGTAGAGAATGATAACCGCACATTGAAGAACAAGTTTTGTGTAGACGAAACTCGAGTCGCTTGTGTCCACTGACTTGCAACTGATTGTTAAATTGCCGAATTCCAGTTTATTGCCCACCTTTTGAGGCCAATATTCACAACATTTTACTCTTCCTAGCTCGGCCAAATTGCACAACATTATAATTTGACGTACTTTTTCTTGCCAAACCATACGCCAAAAATCTCCAATCGTTGCCTCTAGTGGAGCCTTAAAGAGGTGACATGCTAGTTTGTTGTTGTATTGGGATGTAAGATGTAGAGCCAGTGCACTCTGTAAGTTCATGCTTGATTGTGATTCTGGCCCACAGATGGATAGAAAAGGTGGTGGATTGAACTGTGCATGCACGTGTGGTAATGAATGGATGGAAATTGACACAATTCGGTTAAAATACAGTCTGACATAAAATCTCGCCAGTAATTCTAAAATAATTGATAGAATCTGGAACCACTGATATTACTTGCTATGCCCTCATGCATTATTTCCGTACCTTAAAATTGTTCTGCAGTAATATGGTGAACCATTCACCTGATGTTGTGTCAGTTAGATGATATGTTAATTGATGACAAGGTTTCAGTACAAACTAATGTAGAAGTACTCTATGCCAGTGCGGTGAAAGACTCATACACTGATAGCATACGATTAAATGTTCAAAAGCTATGAGTAAAGGTATGAGCAGAACGGAGAGGTGCGTCCACTCACTGTATGACACGCACCTGACAGCAAATAAAATCATTCTCGAGCAGTTCATGTTTAACCCAATTTGCATGGATAAAATCGTTCTTATCGCCCGGTGGCCATTTCAAAACAACACGAGTTCTTTCTAGGCACTTCACGTCTGAAAACTTCAAATTGATTCCTGTGTCACTGACGGATTTTGCTGCATATTGTAATCAATTTTTCAGTGTAATTTTGATTAGATGTTTGCATGGAATGGCCCTCAACAAAAGGCAAATTCAATAAGGCGCTATGATTAACGTGGCAGAAATCAAATCCAATGTATACATGCAACATAAATGATGCAATGCCTTGTCCTCAGCTCCGCCAGAGTCTATTAAATTATAGGCAAATTATCACCTAACTGTGAAACCTTTGAAGCGTTTTAATAAGGAGATGGTGATTTTATGTTCCTGCCGTCAGATAAAACAACCTTCAAAATGTTTTAAGGTTTGATATTTTGAGATTTCCGAATTCTTGTTTCAAGAATATCACTCAAGAAATCGATTGACCTTTATATCGACATTTCGTCACGTTAGCATCAAATGTGGTTGTACTGCAATCTTGCGGTGTGAACGCTTTGATTTCATTGTAATCCAAACGTAACTGATGAATTCCACCCTTCAAAAACACTTTCACTCAACTATGTTCAAGTGAACATTCTTCAGATTTCGTGTTTTTGAATCCGCGAAGATTTTGAGAAAACACACCGAAGAAAAAAAATATCAAGGAACTCCGAAATTGCTAAAACAGTATTTCGAAAAACGTGGCGCTTCGAAAAACTGTTTTAAGCGAATGAGGGTCTTCATCTTCTTTGTTAGAAAGAAAAGTTTCCGCAGTTTGATTGTCATGTACACGGTATAAACTTCTTTTGCACCTTTGTTATGTCATTCAGCCATTTTCGCATTGTTGCCTTGGCTTCATCGGAAAATATTTGCACGTTTTCTTTCTCTTCTATAAAAGAGAATGAATATTATGGATGAAAAGATGACTGCCTAAAGACAACCCGTCTTTCACGACTGTATTTATAGCACAAGCTTTCAACTGCTTACATTGAATTGCCCTACTGCAGTCATTTGAATGATGCTGCCTTATTGTTCTTACACTTTTTTCGGATATTCACTAAATTAATGACCATTTTGGACGCTCTGTAACCAGTTCGAAACAGTCGATATGCTGATGCACTGTTTGTCTCTTCGTTTTTTGAGAATTTCAACCACAGTATTCTTGAGACTTCACATTTTTTTAAAGAGACATAGTGGGCATTTACCCATATATTGATCACGAATGAAAGATGAGAGCCAATTTGATTATGTGTATTTCAGTTTCGTGTTTCATTGTTTCGGATCATGCTGTTTGTTCATGTCACCGATCAGCTAGTGTTTTACTGATAGCAAAATTCTGAATTATGCTTGGGCAAATCCGTTTAGTCATACACTGTGGTTGTTCCTCTACGGAGTTCTATACGTGAAAATCCATCACAAATTGGGCAGTGTTTGAAGGTGAACACGTTATTTTGTGTGTATGCGCCGAACCGACTGTATCGTGAATAGCGACTGCACCATACATTCATACTATGAATAGACCATATCAATGCTGAATGGTCGCAATGCAGTCTGTCAGGCTGTTATTCATTACCTTGTAAAACCCCGTTCATGATCTGTCGCACATTATTTCGTGTACATTTCTTTCGTTTTTCAATGAGGGTGTCAAGGGAAACACATGCAAGTCGGATAAGCGTCAAATCTCTCTTGAATTGTTATAACTTACTGTTTGCTGCGACATTGGTTGGAGCCGATTTGTGCTCATTTATCGACTTGCGTATTGGTGTCAAGATACGTTTTTTGGCGAATCTGTGAACAAGATTCGTGTTTAAGTTGAACACGATATTGATAAATGGTGTTCTGAGTTTTACACAAGACAAGCTTGCTTTCGTCGGAGGTTTGCGATTCAAGAAGAC